TTAAAGAGACCAAAACAAGGCAGCTGTTCCGGTTCACATCTGACTCCAGCATTGAGTTAGAGATTAACAGGAGTGTTCACTGAGCATGATTCTGAATATCTGCACACACATGCTGCTGTTTATATGATGCAGAAGAGTCACACACTCACACACAGCACCTTTAACAGATCAGTTATATTGATTAAAATAATAGTTTGCTCACGGTTGTGAACAGGAAGATCACACATTTACATGAGGGCCAGATATTGCTGAAAAACTACAAGCTACAAAAATAAATTTAAAAGTAAATATAATTGACGTTTCTCTTGGTTTTTCCTCTTTATTAACACGTCATGTGATGTTTCCCCATCATATGAGTGTGTGCGGTGATGTGCAGTGTTTGCTAGATTAGTTGATCAGTGTTGTGTTTGGTACTGGCTGATCTGATGTGTCTGCACAGGAACTCTACAGTACCAGAGAGATCAGACACACTCATCTATGCTCAGCGCTGTGCACACATACAATAACGTGCTATTTAAACCAGCCCTGTGCTGCGCTGCACTGTGATCCTGATTATCCCCATCCCGTGACCACATTCTCACAGGTCAAAGGTTAAGATCAAACCCCGCCCCCACCACATCTCCTCCAATCAGAGCATGCGTCAGCATCATCATGCCTAATCAGCAATCAGCTCAGGCAAATCACACCATTTACCCAAGTGGGCGGGACTCCAGCCCTTATAAGATCTCGTCATTGGCCAAACCGCCCCAGTCTTCAGGCTGGCTCTATGGACAGAAACACCAGCCAATCAGAAGAGCCGAAAAATAAATCAGCCAGAAGGCGGAGCTCTGGAGACTAAACACAGACTGAAGAACACACACACACACACACACACACACACTCACGCACGCACACACGCACACGCGCACACACACACACACACACACACACACACACACACACACACTCTTCCCGTCTCAACACTACACTGAACTCAGAGCAGTTTTCAGATGGAGTTACGCTCGTCTATTAGCACTCGCCTCAGAGATGATCAAGTAAAGAATAAACAACACTGAACTATAACACACACACTTCACGACGAGGGGATCTCACACGCACGCTTCACTGGTCCCACATGCGCTGGCGACCGTGGCGTTTACTGTCTACGATGATCAGTGTGTGAGCTGAAACTGAGTTTGAAGATTAGCGAGTGACTGATGAACCTCCTGCACTGCAGTCTGTAATGAGCTTATTACAGGTTATGAATATCCCTGTGTGGGTTTCCTGTTTACATTTGTAAGATCAGAGCTTTACTGTTCTGATCAGCAGCCAGTGGCGAGCAGACCTCCAACATTACTGGCCTCTCGCCATTTTCACTAGCCACAATTTTCATGTTGGGAAAATATATTTAATATGCATACATTTGACACTGACATGCTAAAATACTAGAGCTGGAGTGTGTGTTATCTCCACAAGCCTCCTCAGTCGTTTCACTTGTGTGTGTGTGTGTGTGTGTGTGTGTGTGT